GCAGGGAGCCCGATGCGGGACTCGATCCCAGGACTCCAGGATCATGACCTGAGCCGAAGGCAGTCGCTTAACCAACTGAGCCACCCAGGCGCCCCCATGAGGATGGCTATTATCCAAAACTCAGAAAATAACAAGTGTTGGTGATGATGTGAAAAAAATGAAACCCTTTGCATTGCTGATGGGAATGAAAAATGATGCAGCCACTCTGGAAAAACAGTATGGGTTCTCAAAAAATTGAACAGAATTACCACATGATCCAGCAATTCCACCTCTGGGTATATACTCAGAAGAACTGAAAGCAGGGACTCAAAGAGGTATTTGTACACCATGTTCATAGTAGCGTTATTAATAGCAGCCAAAAGGTAGAAGCAACTCAAGTGTCAGCCAACAGACGAGTGCATCAACAAAATGTGGCATATCCAGACAATGGAATATTATTCAGCCTTAAAATGGAAGGAATATCTAATACAGGCTACAACATAAATGAGCCTTAAGGATCTTATAGTGGGACGCCTGGGTGGCTCAGTCGGTTAAGTCTCTGCCTTCGGCTCAGGTCATGATCCCAGGGTCCTGGGATGGAGCCCCACTTTGGGCTCCTTGCTCAGTGGGGAGCCTGCTTCTCCCTCCCCCTGCTGCTCCCCCTGCTTGTGCTCTCTCTGACAAATAAACATACAAAATCTTAAAACAAAAAACAAACAAAAAAAGGATCTTAGAGTGAAATAAGCCAGTCTCAAAAAGACAAATACTGTATGATTCCATTTGTGTGAATTAGCTAGAATAGTCATATTCATAGAGACAGAAAGCAGAATGGGGGTTGCCATAGGTTAGGGAGAGGGAGAACGTGGAGTTAGTGTTTAATGGGTATGGTCTATGTTTGGACAATGGAAATGTTCTGGAGGCAAACGGTGTGATGGTTGCACAACAAAGTGAGTGTACTTCATGCCACTGAACTTGTACACTTGAAAATAGTTAAAATGGTAAATTTTATGTATATTTTACCACAGTGAAAAAAAGAGTGCTTATAGGAGTACAAACATCATTGATATTCTTTCAAAAGTAAGTACCAGCCTCAAAACCCTTGTATGTAAATATGACAAAACATATTTAGGTAAACTGACAAAGTGATCCCACTCATAAATGCTAAAACTGTAAGCATCTACAGTAACCATAAATACTTCAGCTGTGTTATTACAAAAATTGCCTTTCTATTCTACGCAGCAGAAACCCACTGATGTACTGTATCCAATTAATGCTAAGATTCGTAGAGGACTAGCATCTGGAGGTCTTCTCCTTCTGAATTTAGCTCCATTAACAGATATGCTGGGAGTCATTTTAATAAGAGTCTTTTTTCTACACTTTATTTATTTATTTATTCATTTATTCATTCATTCATGTTAAAGTAGGCTCCACGTCCAACTTGGGGCTTGAACTCACAACCCTGAGATCAAGGGTCGCACGCTCTACCGACTGAGCCAGCCGGGCGCCCCAAGAGTCTTGTTCCATCGAGGCTTTGTATGGTGGACACAGTCATGCGATTGGCCATCTACCTCACCCGGTAGGACATCAAAATCAAGAATTTGAAATGAACCCATTTATCTATCCATCCACCCATGCTTCCATTCTCTGAGTCACCCAGCAAACATCTAATGAGCATCTACAAAATGCCAGGCATCTGTTGGGTTAGGATCAAGGATGCATCACCTAGACAGGCAGCCGCCAATCTCACGGGCCTTACCATCTCGCAGGGCAGACAGTTAACAACTGCGTGCGGTAGCCAACACTCGGGAGAAACTTCTACAGCTGCTAAGAAAATATTTTATCATGTGTGGCTAGATGGATTCCTCTGAGCAGTGAGGCATGGGTATTTCCCACCCAAGTGCTGCGCGGCTCTGGGCAGGAGACGATGAGGGCTTGAAGCCTCGGGGAGGGGCCACACCTGGAGGAGACATGGCTTCTGGACGTGGCTGGGGAAGGAACGGCTAGAGGGAAGGGTTGGGTCTGCCCTGAGCCACCTGGAAGCTATTGCCTGCCAGACAGGGCAATTCAGATTTATATTAACTAAAATTAAATGATGGGTTCCAAGAGGAGCACCCAACAGAAGAAGGGCTTGAAGGCCTGCTGGGGGCTGGCACGAGCCACACCCTAAAGCTTCGAGACCACCGGTGGGTCCCTGGCATCAGTCTCCAGCCACTCAGTGAGGATCTGATTCAACTCGGTGGGCCTGGAAAGGGAAGAAAGGGCAATTCACACCTGTCTGGACCCACTCACCCCATGTGAAAGCAGAGGTGAAGAAGGGAATGGCCAAGCCGGGAAAGGCCTTATTGGAGGTGAACAGGAAGTCCTGATCTCCAATCAGGGGATCCCCCCCAACCCCGCTACCCTGCCACATCTCCTTACTTCTCCATCTGTGTCCAGTGTCCACAATCCTTAATGTGTCCCCTTTTCAGGTAGGGGATCTGCAAGAAAACCCCACCCAGAAAAGTCAATGGCAGAATGCAAATGAGTCTGGCTTTTGGTTAGTGCTCCCCCAGGCCACCCCCGAAGACCCTCCGTTATTTAGGAAAGGAATGGGCATTTATTGAGTTCCTACTATGTGCCAGGTACTCTACGTGCATTGCCTTCTCTAACTGTGACCATAATCCTATGGGGTAAGATGAAGGCTCAGAAAAGTTAGGTAACCTGCCCGAGGCCACACAGCAGGTGGTGGAGCTAAGATTCAAATTCAGGGCTGCCTTGTACTGATCACCACAAATTGCTTCTCTTTAGAATTATTAGGACATGGCTTGTTCACCGTCTGGAAAATGCCTGGTTGTTGTGTGGCTCCTGCCATGCAGACGTGACTGAGTGCCCCCCTCTCAGGCTGCCTCCCTTCTCCCTGGTGGTCTGCACGCAGGGCTGTTCAGCCTCCCGTTTTGGATCCTGAATCCCCACAGCGGGTCAGAGCAATGAGCCCCAAGGATGGAGAGGGAGCAGCACTGCACTCGGCACATGCGGGCTCCCTCCCGACACAAGCCTTGAACTGCGCAATATGATGTAGAAAATGCTGGGGAAAAAATGTGGCTTTCCTCCCAGAGGCAAGTGCAGCCCCTTCCAAGCACAAACCTCAGCAAGGTTAGCGGTCAGTTGCCAGGGCTGGAAAGGGCCAGCTGAAGAACTGGAAATTCTACAGAAACCTTCAGAGGGTAGGGCCAGAGAGAATGAGCACCCCCCCAACCCCCCAACGGGCTCATGGCTTTCTGCAGCCCTCTGTCAGTGGGCTCTAGAGCCCACACTGCATCCCACTTAACACACTGTCTGCTGTGTCTGATGATGCTCACAAAGCCACAGCCATGGAACTGCCCCCAGCAGCTGGGCAGGATAAATGAGCCAGCCCATGGTCACCCCACCTGCAAGCCTCCCCACTTTCTACCAACCTCCACATTTGTAGCAGAGTGAGCTTCCAACCCACAAGGTTGTCACCTGTCAATCCCCTTCAGTGGCTTATGCTCATGGATGGATGTACAAAGCTCAGCCTGGCCCAGTGGGCTCAGGAGAATCTTCCAGCCTTCTGGAATTCCTGCCATTCTCCCAGCATGTCCCGAATGTTCCCTGCCTCTCACCCTGTCTCCATTCTCTCTGCCAGGCAAGCCTTAGTTGTTCACCAAGGCCAGATGTTCACCAAGGTCAGCACCTCTGCAAAGACCTCATTCCTAACCGTGCCCTCTCCTTCACTCTCTCCTGGGTTCGGGATTAAATGCTGACAGTGGGCTCCCCAAGGATGGGCTCCGTATCTTATTCATCCTTCCCGTCCCAGAATCTAGCACTGGGCCAACACACTTACATGCACGGTAAAAGCCCATGAAATGAATGAATGAATGAACGAATGAACGAATGCATGAGTGAGTGAGTGACAGGCCACGCCGGTGCAGGGGAAGGCAGCATTGGTTATGACAACAGCTCCCAAGAGGTGACAGTGATGCTATGGAGAACCTTGTCCAGCAAGTGGTTCAAGCAGATCTCCTGCTCTGTGGCCTCAGCTGCCATCTTTCCTCGGCCGCCCATGCCCTCTGCCGGGATGCGCCGATGACCCCAGGGCAGGACCGTTCCCTTACCCAGTCCTCCATATGCTTGGACATCTCAGGAACGAGCACGGGGTCCTTCTCCGCGGTTACCATCAGGGCCGGAACCAGGATCTGGGGAGGAGGGAGGAAACGTTCCCTTCTTGTGCCCCTCTCCTGGGGCAAGGACACAGTACTTCATGTTCATGCTTCGTGCCTTCCTCCACTACTAACGCTGCCCCCCCCCCCCCACAAAGACCCACTATGGTGCTGCCGGTGTGGCCCTGGCTTTGTTTCCCCGGGCTTTGAAGGGAGGAGGCATCGCTATTACTGGAGATCTGAAAAGGATGGTGCGAGAGGATAGAAAATATATATATTTGTGTCTGCCCCGGTTCCCGGCACAGAGCTCCTGAAACCCTTGTAATTTCCTAAGTGATGAGGACATTGTGAGCATCTTGTGCTAATATTTGGGCTTTTGACCCCATCCCTGCCTGACACGGGGCTCCCAAAACCCTTGTAAATTCCGAAGAGATAGAGCACCCGGAGTATCGTTTGTTCCATTGAGGCATCTCTGGGTGGGCTCCTGGATGGGGGCTGGTCACCAGAAGGACCAAGCCATGATTAGAAGCTTGGAATTTTCAGCCCCATCCCCCATTCTCTAGAGAGGGCAGAGGGGCTGGAAATGGAGTTAATAATTGATTGTGCCTACATGAGTAAGCCTCCATAAGGCCCCCCCAAATACCAATAGGATGGGGTTTGGGAAGCTTCCACGTTGGAAAACACATCTACACTGGGAGGGTGATGCACCCCCAACTCCTGCAGGCACAGAAGCCCCTCTGCTTGGGACCCTCCCAGACCTCACCCTATGTACCCCTTCCTCTGGCTGTTCATCTGTATCCTTTGTCATCTCCTTTAATAAACTGGCAAATGTGCTCCCTGAGTTCTGTGAGTTGCCCTAGCAAATTAGTTGAATCTGAGGAGGGAGTCATGGGAACTTCAGATGTACCACCGATCAGTGAGAAGGACAGGTGACAAGCTGGACTTGTGATTGGCATCTGAAGTGGGGGCAGTCTTGGGGGACCCTTGCCTGCGGGATCCGGCGCTACCTCTGGGGAGACAGTGTCAGAATGGATTTGAATTATAGGACACCCAACTGGTGTGGCAGAGAATTGCTTGGTGGGGGGAACCCCCATATATGTGGTGACCAGAAGTGTCAGCGGGGTGAAGCGTTTTGTGTAAAAGTAAAGGAGACACACAGAAGGACAAGACTGGGTTTTTCTAATACAGATGGAGTCAACAGTGGAGTGACCAATGCGGGTTTTGTGTGCATGTGTGTGTACGTAAGAACATGCGTGCTGGCCCACTCTGTGTGACTGATACTCACAGAACTGTGAAAAGAAACCCGCAGGCCCCAAATGATGTCACTTGGGCCAGGCCAAATTACTAAACTGGAGCTTAATACCTAAACTAATTGCAGTTCCAACCTCCTCCAGAAATGTCTTAACTGGTAAGGCAGGAATTTTTTTTTTAAGATTTTATTTATTTATTTGAGAGAGAGAGAGATCGAGAGAGAGAGAGAGAGCGTGAGAGCGCGAGAGAGCGAGAGAGCGAGAGGGCGAGCACGAGCAGGGGGAGGGGCAGAGGGAGAAGCAGACTCCCCACGGAGCAGCTAGTCTGACATGGGGCTCGATCCCAGGACCTTTGGGATCATGACCTGAGCCGAAGGCAGATGCTTAATCGACTGAACCACCCAGGCACCTTGAGGCAGGAACTTTTTTGATTAGCACTGATGAGGTTATCTGTCACATGGGCTCTCTCTGTCCCCCCCACCCCATAGGAAGGTGAGGGAACGTGCTTAAGACCCCTGCCCTTCCCCCTAAGGGAAGGTGACCTTGCCTGAAACAATCCTCTCTTTTCTTCGCTTAGAACTTTCTAGCCACCCCCTCCTACCTATAAAAACTTTCCCCTTGGTACAGCTCCTCAGCGCCCCTCTCCGTGCTAGACGGGATGCTGCCCGATCCAGGAATCATTTAATAAAGCCAATTAGATCTTCAAATTTACTCAGTTGAATTTTGGTTGTTAACAGAACGGAAGAGATGACACCAGGAAGGAGGAAAGATGACCCTGGACAGAGATCGATATTCCTTTTCTTTGAATTCAATGAATGCTTAAAAAGGTCAGCCAGGATTCCAGAATGAACGGGTCAGCCCCAACCATTATCAGTGTTAGCGGTGGCAGAAATGACTTTACTTTCGCCCGCTGACATATGGGACACTGTGGGCTGGAGAAAGCCTCCTCTAGCCTCTTGGTTCTCCCTCTGCCATTATAATTTTCAAACAGCATCGGTGTGTCCCTGCCTAAGGGACTCGCCCAACTGTTTCTTCTCTATGTGCAAAACCATGGGCTTCTCACTGCATCCCCTCTACCAGACGAGGAAGAGCCAGGGGATGCTCAAACGTGATTTTGTTGCAGAAACTCATCCTGAGGCTGCTGTAGACTCTAGAATATTCCAAGTCACAATGTAAACTGGTCGTGGGGGCATGAGGGGAGGTGGGGAGGAGGAAGATCTGGGAGGCAGCTGCAGAAGAACGGGGTTTCCAATGTTGGCACCCCTGGTGTCACCTTCCCAAAGACTCTGTCATTACGTCTCTCCATGCTGGGAGAGATTTTTGCCTATCAAACCGTGGTTTTGTCATTTTGGTCAGTCACAGATGAGAGAGACAAAGATAATGAGCCTGAATGGAACTACTAGTTTGTGCTAGGCGCTGGTTTAAGCATTTTGCGGGCATCAACCCAGTTTATCCTTACACCCATCTAAGAGGGAAGCACTATTCTTGTCATTCCCATAGTCCAGAAGCAGCAACGGAGAACAGAGTGGTTAGGTGCCTTACCCAAGGTCACACAGGGATTAGATCCCAGGCCGAGTTGCTGCCCAGCCTGATCTTAACTACTGTGTTCCATGTTCTTTTGCCTCAAGACATCACCCCCCGAGGTCAGGACCTCATCTGTTTTAACCGCCATGGGATCCCTAAGGTCCAGCCCAGTGCTTGGCACACAGAGTGGGCTCATGTTTTAGTGAATCGACGAGATAACCAGGGTGATTGAGTGAGCTGAGGAACGCAAAAATGAAATTTCCCATAGTTTTTTTTAACATTATGAATGTAACCTGGGGACCTGTTACAAGTTTCCCCCACTCCCCAAAAGTAGAGCATTCCTGTGAAAACTCCCATAAGCCAAAATTGTGTAAGGCGAAGAAGCAATCACCATTAATTTATATGAAAAAATTTTTGAACTTTCCCAGACCCTCTTTTCGGCTTTTCTGATACCTTAGGAAACATCTTGCTAACGGATGCACAAAAGAGAGCAATGTCAAGCCCAGATGCTCAGAGACAGGGTTCAAAGCTACAGCAGCTTGATGTGGAGATGCTGAGGGGAGTTCCTGGGAAGGGGCTTGGCAGGACCCCTCTGGCTTGTGAACCGCCTCTATAATGCCTCACTGCAAAAGAAATGCTGAATGCTATTTCTGCTTTTTGCTTTTTTTTCTAAAAGCAAAAATCCTCTTTGGCTTTCTTTCGGTTCGCGAAAACCCGCTACTAAGGTAGGTCTTCCGTAAAAGCGAACTTTCAAAAAGCGGGGCCTACCTCTATTCCTTTTGCAGACCCAGAGACTGGAAACGCATCTTCTGCTTGGCAAACGAGGACACTGAGACTCAGGTTGACTTGGGTGAGGTGACACAGCCAGGGCTAAAGCCTGTCTCTCTGAGGGCACCTCACGCTGCTCTGTGAAATGGGGGCTCCATGATCCTCCTCCGCTTTGGGAGTCATCCTGGACTTTCTGTGGCCCTGACCTGGAGCACGGTCAGGAGACCTGGGGCCTTCCACGGCAGCGCTGCGGTGACCTGGCCAGACCCCTGTCCTGCCCCAATGCCACCCTCAACCATTCCAAGGAAAGCATCAGCAAAAGTCCTCGAGGACCCCCTTGAGTGGAAGGAAAGGACAGAAAGGAGAAAGACGGCAAGTCAGACTGGCCTGCCCATCCCCCCTACCCCAGCTCTGACCCAAGGGCAGATTCACTGGGCCAATGAGAAGCCCCGAGAGGGGCTCATAGGGGAGCGCAACCACACTGAACCACACTGAACCAGCACTCACCTTCCATCCCACAGCTTTGCAGCCCCACTGCCAGTTCAGCTCCATGTTTCGATACCAGTTTAGGGGACCTCTGGGGGTGGGGAAGATCAGGGAACAAAAACAAGAAAGCTTAGTAGAGGACTCTGCTGCAGACCTCCCAGGGAGCCAGCTCCGTGCAGAGCCAGTCTTCCCAGTGGGAGCAGAGGTTGCTGCAGGAGGGGAAGGGAACAGAGCCCAGGGTTCCCATCTGGTTGCCCAACACACCTGCTAGGCTTTAAGGAGCGAGGCCTAGTGCAGGCATTCAGGGCTCGGCCGAGACAGCCTCTGAAGGGAGCTTCCCAAAACACACAGAAGCTGGCCCTACAAGGGCTCGCCACGTTCTCTGAGGGCTGTCGTGTTAGATAATGGGGAGCTTTGTTTCGTTCCCTCACCATCTAGAAACCACTCCCCAGCCCCGGAACCTACTGAAGAGGGACTTTGTGAGGTGGATATGGTGCGGACGCACCCTTTCCAATGGGATATAGGGAGGGGGCTCAAAGAGGCCTCTCTGGACGGGTAAGGACAGCCAGGCCCGGACCTGAACACTCTCCCAATCCTCAATACAAACCAAACAACCAACAAACACCAAGAACAAGAGAGGTCAATAACCCTCCTCTGAAGATACATGCAACTTCTGAGTTTAGGTAGGCTTTGTGTTTTTCTGAAGAAAGAACCCAGAGCTGTCCTCTGGTCCTCTCAGGGGTTATGACTGAAAAAATGTTTTTAACCATCTGTTCTGAGGGGGCCTATCAGCATAAGGGGAAGCAAGCTGAGTTATCCTACACTAGAGCAGGCCGAGTATCTTCAGGAGTGAGCCTCCTGACACCGGAGGTGTTCAAGCAGAAGCTGGCCACACATTCACAGGAGGGACAGCCAGGCCTCACCCTGTACCCTGAGAGCAGAAGAGCCCCTCTTGGCCGATGGGCTCTCTACTGTGTTTGGGGCACTGTTGTCTTTACCTGAAACCGGACTTCTGGAACTGCCGCACATAGACCCGGATGTCCTCCTCGGTGACGATGCTGCTGAGGCTGGGCTCTTCTGGGGCCCTCACTAAGAGTCCTCCTGCAAACAGCCACTTGTTTGCTCCCAGCCCGGGGCCAGGCACCCGAGTCCTAACTCCGGCGTGTTCCCAACTGAGGCTGGGCACCGAACTGCCTCTCCTGTCACATCTGAACTCACAGGGAAGGGTCTCGTGTTCCTTCATTCATTCTCTTTTTCTCTCCACAACGAGCCCATCTCCTCTCGAGCTGCACATCTGTGCCCTCGCTGTCGTTCTGGAACCCAGTGATATCACACACGCAGACTTCCCCTTCCAGGATGAACTTTGGGACAAACCATATCCCTTTCCTCAAAAACTCACGACGTAATTCCAGGATGACACTATTTACTGTTTACCAGGTCCCACCAGCCCTCCAGCTACCCTCTCCCCCGCCACTAAACCTTTTCTAAATGGCCTAACTAATAACGTCCCTCTTTAGATACCTCCATTGATTCTCAGAATTTTCAGAAGTGTGTGCTCTGATTTTTCTCTTAGGCTGGAGGAAAATCCAGGACAGGGAGCACGCATTCTGTTGCCTTCTGATGCTCATGATCCTCTGCACACTGTGGCATCCTGTCTTGTCCTCAGAGGTGTACCCTGTGTCCTGACAGTCCCCAGTCCCCTTGGCGGCCACCTTGCGATGACAATGGGCAGCCTGGGGACCGCTGCTATGTCACAGGGGACAGCCACAAGGGCTAGTAACACTGGCGCTTGAACAGGGCTGACTCACCATTTTCAGGCTCTTGAAGCCTCAGAAGCATAGGAACTGGGTGATGCAGACTTTTGTGAGATGTATCAACGGGGTATGTGATCAGGGCGCCTCCCTGACCCGGCGTGGGGCTCCTGGCTCACTCAGCACCTCTGTAAGAGCCCCCCCTGCTCTCCTCCCGTGACCACTGCTGTCTGCCACCCTAAGGCAGCAGCTGTGCTTTGTGCATCTAGCTATCCGCCCCTGCCTCCCATCAAGCGTGGGCTCCACATGCTCGGGGAATGAAAGAATGAACAAGTGACTGCGTGACAGGGAGGGAGGGAGAGAGGGAGGGAAGGAGGGAGAAGGCGTTCTTGACCAGTGAGAGGAGTATGGCCTTTAGCGTAGGAGGAGTTTAAGACCAGCCTCGCCCCTTTGAACAAATACCTTAACTCTTCCGAGATCCATTTTCCTCAACTGTAGAATAGTGGTAACAATGGGATTTTAAAGGCTGTCATGAGGATGATAAAGAATAGATCTCCAGGGGGCCAGGCCCGTGTTTGATGCACACAGTAGGTGCTCAAACAAGAGGTAGCGATCGTCTTTATTAATACGAGTGCATGCTGGCAAGGTCACCGTGTGGGGGCAAAAGCAAGTTTCTGTGGGAGCAGTGCTGGATCTGGGCACCATGGGATGAGCTCCTAACTGCTCTCGGCTTCGACTCTGCACTTACATCCAACCCAGGAGGGAGGACAAGGATGGTCTTCATGTGGAGGAACTGGAAATGACGGGAAAGCAAGATAGGGATAGAGGAAAGGCCAGTGGATCATGACCAGAGGAGTTCTGGCTTGGGGTCTAGCTGACTTGGGCTCCGTGTGCACCAGGTGATCCTGCAAAGGTCAGTCCCTATCTCAGGTCTTGGTCCTTATCAGCAGAGGGTGGGATTGCCCTGATGAGCTCTAAGATTCCTCTAAGCTCTTATGGTTTAAGATCGTGGACCCAAAGTTCCCTGGGGCGGCAGGAACCAAGGCCGTGTGGTCAGCCCAAGGCTAAGGTGAGCGCTATTCACCAGTGGGGGCCTGTGTTAAGTCACAGTTCAGAGCTGGAGCGGGGGGTGCGGGGGGGTGGGGAGAATGCTTCTGCTCAGAGCAGTCAGATGGACACTTGTTTAACCTTCATCTGATTCTTGCCATTAGCCTCCTGCCCCCCCACCTCCTAAAAATCTCTCTTACCCATTTCACGGACTCGGCTCACGCTGAGAAAAGCCTGTAAGGAAAAGGAAGGTTAGAAAGTTCGTCATGGATGAAGTAAAGGAAAAACGTTGAAACAGGTCATGTGTAAACCCTGTCACAACCAAAGGCCTACGAGTGCCATCAGGTCACACAAACATGCTCAACTCCCAAGAGAGCTAGAGACATCTTCGGGGGTCAGAGCCGAGGTGGTTAACAACCAAAGCTCTGTACCAAGGCTGCTCCTGGGTGCTTGCAGGCCTTGGTCATGTAAGAACTTGGGTTGACACAACCCATGGGAACAAGAGATGAGACCTTAGACCAATGGCGGGTGGGAAGTTAAACAGGAGATACTCTCCACCCCTCTACTGCACACCCAGGAAATCTGCAGTCCTCGGCGAAAGGGTGGGCCGGAAAAAAATCCACCCCTCACGTGGAGCAATGTCAAAGGACTTGTTCCATTTCAGTTTGGTACGAAGAGGAAACCACAAAAGCTCCCCTAGGAACTCATAGCTATAAGCCTGCCTTCATAGGTGGTCAGGTTCAAACCTACTCTATCTACAGGACCTGGAAACCCCCAAGGTGTGAGGTAAACAACAACAAGAAAAGTGGGCCTGGGCTGGTAATGCCCCCGGGATGCCTGGCAGAGGCAGCAAATGCTAAAGCACAGGAGGATTTTTTCTCAAGCCCAGCGGAAGCAGATTGGTGCAGTTTCAGGGCTGCTGAAGATGAGCTCACAAAGCAAAATTTCAGAATACTCCGCCACACCCCCACACCCTTCACGCACACACACAGGCCCCTTTGCAAGAGACAGCAAACACAGCAAACAGTAAAATCAGAGTCTTCAACAATATCAAATAATAGGACTTTCAGAGAAAGAGAGAGAGAGAATGAAAAAAATAAGTATGCTTAACATGATTAAAGACATAAAAGAAGGAACTAGAACACAAGAATACAACAAGACTCTCTCACAAAAGATTAGAACGATTTGAAAAAGAGCCAAATACAACTTTCATACATAAACAAAAACCCTGTTTGTGGAAATTAAAAAGAAAACTTCGAAGATGTATTGAACTGCCGATTAGACATCACTACAGAAAGGAGGAGGGCAGACCTCGGGCTGATTTTTAAGAAGCAATGACAGAAGCTTCTACCTAGAATTCCATCCTTGGATGAACTAGTCTACAGGACTGAAGATCAAAATAAAAATATTCTCAGGCCCAAAATTATAAGTTTCTTATTAACAGACTCTTAGGGAGAGAACTACCTAAGAAGGTACTTCGGGGAGGAAGAAATTGCACGAAACGGAAAGCGAAATGCCAGGGGTGACCAGCAAAGGCGCTGGCAAACACGGGAGTGACAGGACGACCCACACACAAGACAGCGGGCTGGGGTGGGGGTGGGGCACCTGGGTGGCTCAGTCGGTTAAGCATCTGCCTTTGGCTCAGGTCATGATCCCAGGGTCCTGGGATCTAGTCCCACATCGGGCTCCCTGCTCAGTGGGGAGTCTGCTTCTCCCTCTCTCTCCCTCTCTGTGCTCTCCCTCCCTCTCAAATAAATAAATAAAATCTTAAAAAAAAAAAAGACAGCTGGCTGGGGTTATGGAGTTAAAAGTGTTCTAGGCTCCTTTTCAAGACAAGGGTTAGTGGTATCAACTGATTTAGGACTTGGATGAACAATTCTGCGTGTGAAAATGGTAGCAGCAGTCACAGCACAACTTCTCAACTGTTGCTATTAAAATCCTTTATAATCCTTCTCTGATCTTCATCCCAAAGCCCTATTGGTGTGGGACGGGGAGGATGCAACCTTTCCCCATGGCAAGGGGAGCGGTCGAGTGAGGACCTCGATGACCCTGACTACAGAAGTCAAAGAAAAGAAGGCCACGTTGTTCATTTCCAGACCCTGCCATACCCCAGGACCCTTCCCTCCCAGGGAAGCCTTCCAGAGGCCTTCGAACCTCTGCAGCTCCCCATTCCTCCCCTCCCGTCCCCGCC